TTCACCACTAAAAGAATTATTCCAGCTTTAAATCCCATCTTTGAAGCTTGGTAGCATTAATTAAGTGTCCAGTGCTCAAAAGTTTCATGCTTTTAAATTCATTATTTACAGGAATATATATTTTATACACAAAAATTACCCTTATCATGTAGTTGCGTTCAAAGTCACTTGTCCGTTAATGCTTACTGGTGCTTAAAGTTTAACTTTACCGGTGGATAAATAGCTAGTTGTGGTCTATCCACGGGTGTCTGTAACGGATTGAGTGTTAGTCCGTGCCATGTTCGAAGGTGTAGCTACCTGTCTGTGGTTCTTCAAGTATTTAGAATCAATGATTTACGACTCGGTTATATAGCCAAAAGATCCGGATTCATTTGTTGACATCTCCGAAATTCTGAAAGTTTGTCGCCAGTACGTACGTTTACGAAGTTCGACTTTATTATATTAAGTCAAAAAGCGATTTGGATAACAGAAACAAAATAATAAGCGATAATCTGAGGCAAGACATTTAAATATAAGGATTCAATTATAACGAGTCGTGTTATCAAGTACGAAACTTGGTTACTTACACCTCGAGGATCTCGAATGGGGAATGAAATCTTTGTTTCACCGCATAGCTCAGACAACAATTTGATGCTACCTACTGATGACTTGCTTTCACCTTTTTATGTTCCTCATGCAAGTCATCTGTAGCCAGTTGGTACTATGTTTGGTTTCCACACAGTCTAGCACTATACTTTGACCAATCAATGATTATTCTTTAAGTTTTCTTAAACGCTTAGGTCGAACCATAAAGCTATTATGCTTGGTTTCATTTCAGACTAAAGGCAGCCTTCTTAAATTCTTTATAGTGCTGGAGGACTAAATTCCATGTTTTATTCAAACACAGTGATAAGCAAGTGTTGTACACATGTATACTTTAAAATGTTTCTCAAGGTATTCTGTAGTGTTCCAGCCGTTCGTCTGGAAAATGTATTTGAGTTTAATCTCCCCAGAATGTTATCTCTAGGTCTGTAGTCCTTTTAATGCTCAAACCGATTATTGTGAACAGATCACGGATGTTGCTTATTACTAGTCTCTTATGTATCAGCACCGCGGTTTCAACTAAAGTCGGCTCGTAATGAAAGGAAAAACGTTAGTGCTGATCATCTCATCAAGTCTGGTCACAAAAAATCCACGGTCTGAAGTCCGAGGTCGGAGAACACCGGAGAATCTCCATCCTTATCATGAGCTACAATTCTCTACTGCCACAGAAAGAAGAGTGCCAAACTAAGATACGGCACTGATCTGAAATGTTACTGTCTGTTGTTGTAAACTGTGTACAAGTTTTAGCTGACTTCTATGCTTACAAAGCTCTTAGTGAAACAGCTTGAAATCGATTTCCTTGGCCTAACTCCACTAGTATGTATTTTTCCTTCATTCCAGATATTATATCATACCTACGTATTTGTTTTACTTTCTCGTCTTTTGAATTCTGTGACTTTTTCATAATATGACGTTTTTTCGTTTTTGTATCATCTTTCATGCTTCTCTCTACTGAATGTGGCTGTGAAGTACTATATACAGTTACACGCTGACGTCAGGTATGCTTGTCACACAGCAAATAGATTTGATGATTTAGCGTACAAAGCTGTCAATTGTCTTGATAAGTTGCATTCGAACTTCATAATGTGTAGTAGTTTTCTAAAAGGTTGGATATTTTTCAAAGGCTTTTTTGAGAAACTGTTGGTCTTGGGTATCTGATCACTTATGTTTGATGTTTTATTGGCTTGTGATTTCAAAATATCCAATGAGATAACACTATATGTAAAAGAAAGCTAAATGAAGCTGTTAATTCCTATGACGGTTGCAAAATTGATGATAGTGATATAGAAATCAAGTGTGACGTTAAGTATGTTGGATTAATTCTTTCTTCTGACCTATCCTAGTCTCCCCATGTCTTAGCGATTTCTAAAAGAATATTTCTTCTGACTTTTTACATTAAAAATTTAAGGCATTCGGGAATGACTCAACCCTTCCTCTTACAGTTTGTCAACTTTTACATCTGAACTTCTGTACTATTCACCCCTCTTCTTTCCTGGATTGCTTAGAAAAAACTGTCATACTTCGTAGAACTCTGAAGGCTGTCAGTAGGACGAGTAGTGGTATCCCATTGGGCCATATCGTTGATGTCGTCATTGATAGGCATTTGGTTGCATGCAGCAAATTTGGTAAAGGAATTTTGTCAAGCTGTGAGCATCGACTTTACCTGCGGCCTTCACCTTGTGTCTTCTCAGGTAATACCAGAAATCATTTCAAAAAACTATGCGTGCACGTCTTAGATCTAGGATACTACATTTGGCGCGTATTCTATGCGATGAAAACAGTGTCAGGGGAGAAATAACTAACATTATTTGCACTAGTGGATAAACCATTCTCCCCATCCTCATCCCATCAAGCTTTACTGTTATTATTCTTATATTTACAATCCTCTCTCAAATATCTTTGACTTAATACCCTAACTGTAGACGAATTTCTTTGGTTCATTTGTATTCTAAGTAATTCAAATGCACTATTGTGACAAATGCTGAGAATTCCATTCTATATTATAAGTCCTGTCTTTGGAATTTAAGTAGATTATTATTATTAGACTCTAATTAAGCCACTTTATCTTGCTCGACCTGCCCTTCGTGCTTTAATCATGCTAGTGGCGTGTTTCACAAAACTCATCACACAACGTATCCTCATCCACCTCGGTACCCGCAGCTTTCACCATGTCTCCTCAGCTAAAACAAGAAGTCACTTCAGAAGACTTTATGCGTGCATGTCTTAGTATAATAATTCCACGAAACCATATTTGGCACGTATTTTATGTGATGAAAATAGTGTCAGGGACAAATTGACTAAATGATATAAGTATAAAACTTTGGCACTGTGGTAGAGTATAACTCCATTACGGATAAGATTTTATTTTGATAAACCACACAGTGCTGTACAGTTATATTAACTGATAACTGTACAACTGTGTGACTTATCAAAACAAATTGACTAACCTTTTTACCACTAGTAAATACACCATTTTCTCCATCCTTATTCCATCAATCTTTCTTGTTATTGCCCTTCGATATTTATTTTCTCAAGTGTAAACATCATGTAGGCTCTATGATAATTATTAATTTTTGTCTTTCTCCTCACCATGCTATATAAATAGAACATTAAATTCAATAATCTATAACATGCTAAAATTTCCAAACTGTACCGACAATACGATTTGAAACAAACCCACTGTTATTATTACCATTATTACTATAGTTATTATTCTTATTTTGTACTTTGCACATTTTTGACTTTATTCTTACCGTAACTGTGGACAAATTGCTGTGGTTAATTTTGTTTATATTTTGTGTAAATTAGATGCAATATAGTGACAAATGCTCAGAATTCCATTCTGTATTATAAGTCCTGTCTTTGGAATTTAAGTAGATTATTATTATTAGACTCTAATTAAGCCACTTTATCTTGCTCGACCTGCCCTTCGTGCTTTAATCATGCTAGTGGCGTGTTTCACAAAACTCATCACACAACGTATCCTCATCCACCTCGGTACCCGCAGCTTTCACCATGTCTCCTCAGCTAAAACAAGAAGTCACTTCAGAAGACTTTATGCGTGCATGTCTTAGTATAATAATTCCACGAAACCATATTTGGCACGTATTTTATGTGATGAAAATAGTGTCAGGGACAAATTGACTAAATGATATAAGTATAAAACTTTGGCACTGTGGTAGAGTATAACTCCATTACGGATAAGATTTTATTTTGATAAACCACACAGTGCTGTACAGTTATATTAACTGATAACTGTACAACTGTGTGACTTATCAAAACAAATTGACTAACCTTTTTACCACTAGTAAATACACCATTTTCTCCATCCTTATTCCATCAATCTTTCTTGTTATTGCCCTTCGATATTTATTTTCTCAAGTGTAAACATCATGTAGGCTCTATGATAATTATTAATTTTTGTCTTTCTCCTCACCATGCTATATAAATAGAACATTAAATTCAATAATCTATAACATGCTAAAATTTCCAAACTGTACCGACAATACGATTTGAAACAAACCCACTGTTATTATTACCATTATTACTATAGTTATTATTCTTATTTTGTACTTTGCACATTTTTGACTTTATTCTTACCGTAACTGTGGACAAATTGCTGTGGTTAATTTTGTTTATATTTTGTGTAAATTAGATGCAATATAGTGACAAATGCTCAGAATTCCATTCTGTATTATAAGCACTGGTTTTGGAATAAAGTAGATTATTACCATTATTATTATTATTAATATGTAAAACAATACGCTTACCATAGAAGTTGCATGTCACTTTTGCGAGATTAATTACGAAATATCCCCATACAATATAGTAAGTTCAGACCTTGATTAATACCCGGAAGTCTGACGATCAGTCTGCAAGTTTAAAGGTCAACAAAGACACTTTGGCAGCGTTTTTATTTTGTTGTATCACGTATATAGAATCATGATAACTTTCAAAATCCCCACACGGTGCATTCTATTGTACATATATTTCAATCACATATTTAAGTTAACTTATGTACATAGATGCAATTGCATATCTGTTGGGAATGAAGTTACCGGAAAGATATCTTTACTGAGCTTCTTTTTCCTCTCTAATGTCGTGATAGTGCCTCGGCGTCACACCTGTAGAATGCTCACCAACCACGCCACATGTGGTTCGGGGTTCAATCCCCGGCCGATGCAATCGTTTAACTTGCTAAGACTGGTAAAGAAGGAAGGTTACATATGAGGCTAGCAACCTCATTCCCGTAAAAATAAATGCCACTGCTAGTGAAACTTGAAAGTTCTAGCTTGAAGTCCCCTATGCTCCACTGGGAACGTAAAGGAGTAAAAAATGTCGTGATAGGTATTTTCTACGATATTTCAATTAATTTTTCTCTGATAGTCATCAATCTGTTTTCCTTTTAGATTTAATTTATGGCTGATCGTAGTCGTTTTGAAATTTTGGAAGAAAACATTGAATGTATCATTGATCATTGCAGAGAGGCGGGTATTGTTGTGTGTGATTACCAACCGAGTATTTCATTTCAAAAGAAGATAAACGATTTAGTTTACAAGTTACAGGTACTTTCACTTATTTATGTCTTTTCTAATGTGTTGCAAAAGTTGTGAATAAATTTCTCTACATACTGATTTTATTTTGTGGAATAAACTTGTGTTCAGATTTTTGGTTAAGTCATTAAATAAAATTCTTTACGGAATACTTGAAAAGGATTGGACACATGTGCTAATATCAGTTTCGACAGAAGTTAAGATACATAGGTTATTGGATCCCAATCCACTGAATAAATGGTGACATCCTTGCTGTTTGACCTAAAAGTCCTGTTCTCTCTATCCTCCCTTATGGCTGTGAGACGTGATAGCCATTGAAAGTCGGGGATCTGAAAAGGCTAGCTGTTTCTGATCATAGGTGTCTGCTTTCTATCTCTTATAATACGAAGAGTAGTACAATGCTAGCTGACATGGGATCAGGTTGGAAAAGAGCTAGTGGTAGTCAAACCAAAAATCGCGATCGCTCCATAAAGTCTTTGGCAATTAGTTTGAGGTAACCACGTAAGGAGGTGTAGACTTCCTGGTCGGGGTCCTTGTATTCGCTTATTTATATAGCTTTGGGATAAGACGTCTCCTCATTGTTCCATTGCTACCAGTGTTGTCAACAGGAACTGGATAAACCAGTCATGCATGTTAAAGTGACAACCACCATTACCTTAGTAAAATATTATATTTGTAAAATCTCAGCGAAATTGAAATGAGTAATTCCAATGTTTCCTGTGTTCGGCAATCTGGTCCGAACTTCTTCAGGGAAATTAATCGAAATTAACATAACAGGTTTATAAATTAAAAAGGACATCTCTTATTTTTAAAAATTTTCTCCAAAAATTGGTTCAATTCACTCTTGAATCAAATAATTATCCTAAAGCCTTCATAAAAAGATATTTACAATGTGAAGATAAGAATGGATCGAAACCTGTTGCTAAGAATTGGGTTAGTGCAGTGGTGATTCCTCACCAACAAAGAAACATCGAATGAGATAAAGCGAATCCTTAATTATCTGAACATAAGTGTATTTTCGTGCAACTAACACCTTACACTCCTTATCACTGGTGATGGTTAAGGATAAGAAAATAGAAGACAACCAACAGAACTGTGTGCACCAGATCAATTGTGGGGACGTATATGTAGGAGAAACTTCCAGATAGCCAAATATAAGAGTGAAAGAGTGTAAACAATGTCTATAGGTGGTTCCAAAGACATCTGCAGACTTAAAGAAGCTAAAAAACAGATCAGCGATTGCACTGCATTTGATAGAAACGGGACATAAAGTCGACTTTGATAAGACTAAGGTTCCACAGCAAGGTTTTGGTTCGTATTAAGAAAGACTGACTGCAGAAGCTTTGTATATCTGTGTGAATCCCAACAGTTTCAACAGACATGCAGATGTGATGTTAGCTGATGCATGGCAAATCCTGATTAATAAATAAACAAAAAATGGATATGTATCACTAATTAATCATGCTTGGTCTAAATTCCCGATTGTCTAAATCTTCCTATGAAGAGGCTAACAAACGTTTTATGACTGTTTACCCATACACACACCATTGTATACCGCATATATACACAAAAATTCTCATATTCAGTTATCTACGACCATGAGCCTTTAGTCGAACGTAATCCGATAAAAAGTTTAAATTGTTTAACAAAAGTAGACTAATTTTGAAAGTCTGAGGTCAAGTTTTGATCACAGTTCATACAATTTTGTTTATTATACATGTTGATACCTGCTTCATGATTCATATGATTGGACAAAGTTTTTTTTAAAAAACAATAGATGTCTTTTTTATATATAAACACCTCTGTTATGTTAATTTCGATTAATTTCCCTGAAGAAGTTCAAACCAGATTGCCGAACGCAGGAAACGTTGGAATTAATCATTTCAGTTTTTCTAAGATTTTACAAATATAATTTTCTTTTGCAAATGTCTACTTCTCACTCGGCTCCCAGTTATATTTTGGAACTATTCGGTCAAATCTTGATCACAGTTCATATGAATCACCATTACCTTAATTAGTCCTCTCTCCTGTTGAGAATCAGTTTTCAAACAAAGCTATTAAACTCAAAGAAGTTTTGGTAATAGAGTTTCTAGCAGATTCCTGTATTTCATGCACACTAGCAATTATCGCATTAAATCTCTTATGGCTGATGGCTTCTTAGTGAATACAATAATAGAAGTAGGTCTGCGCTGCATCATTTATTATAGTCTGATTATTCTAGATATAAGTGACTTATAATATCCAATAAAACTCTATGGTTCTTCGATATTTCTGTTCCCCTTTGCCTTATATCTCTGTTTACTGTCTCTATTTTGCATTTCTTTTTACTTTCTTCTCTTGCTTTGTGTGCTATATGGAGGAACTGCTGCACATCAGTGCAAAGTTCTACGTTGGAACCAATCAATCAATCACATATAAGTTTTCTTAAAAAGAATGAAATGCAGAACAGTTACTAAGTGTTTTGTGATTTTATAATAGTTTATTGCATTTATTTCATTTCAAACACAAACTTTGTACATGATGGGCACCAAGGGATGCGACACAACAATTTTGCATAAAGAATATAGGCAGAGAATGAATGAGGGATGTCATCTAGAAGACAAGCACGCAAATACATTTGTGAGGATTATTCAACATTCATCACTTTACGGTTTGTCTGTCTGGTTTCAAGATAGAACTTTGCACCGATGTGCACAAGTTCGAATTGTCACACTTCACTCAGTACACAAAGCCAGAAAGGAAAGTAAAACGAAATAGAGACAGTAAACTGAGATATGAGGCAAAAAGAATAGTAATATCGAAGAACAATATAGTTTTATTGAATATTATAAGTCACAAGGAGTGGATGCATCTGCGCCAGCCATTGGTGTTTACCGTCCCCAGGACCCCATCCAAGAAGCCTACACCTTCCTACATAACTGGTTTAAACTAACAGTTGTGGATTTCATTGACTGATAAGGCCATGTTTTGTTTTGACCACCACTGGCTCTTTTTCAACTTGACCTTATGTCAGCTAACATTGCCCATCGAGGAAGGCGATGGCTAGGCTAGGTTTACATAACACATGTCCTAACCATCTCAGTCAATATAGCTTCACAGCCTCGTCTATTGATTTACCCTCCCACCTACCTAACACTTGACCTATGCCTAACCTCAATGTTGTTCACCTTATTATACCACTTAACACACACGGGAGAGGGAACGCAGGCACCTATGATCAAAACAAGCTAACCAGGCTTTTCATGGCTTCCACTCTCAATGGCCGGGTCTCACAGTCATAAAGGAGGACGGAGGGGCCTGCTGATCAGTACACCCGCCCTATGGTAGACAGCCAGCCATCGGATATCACGTCTAGGCCAGAGACGGCGTAAACTGGCATATGCGAAACTAGCCCTCTGTATCCGTGCTGAGATTTCGTCAGAGATCAACCCATTGACGTTGGCTGATGCAACTTCCCAAATAAGTGAAGTGGTCAACTCGCTCTACCTCTTCACTCCCTATGTCTAAACTAGGAGTCAATGTAGTCCAGTCCTGCAGCATCATTTGCCATACATCCGCAGATTGCACCTCTAGGTGTTCAGAAGACTGTGCTCTATTTTGTCAGGGTCTTCACGTAGAAGGACTATATGATCTGCTTACTTCACGGTACTGTTAGAAAGGGAAGAAAGAAGTGGTGGCATGTTTGCCATTGATTGTGTGATCCATGACCATATCTAATAACGTTTCAAGCCACCTATTCGAATTATCTTTTGGACTCCAGTTAGGGAGCCGCTATCTGCCAACTGATGCTTACGTAACATATATGCTCTTCATCCCATGGCGCAACGTCATAGACTGACCACTTCTGCTCTTTTTCCATCCAGTTCCCGGGCTAATGGACAGCAGCCGGTACGGTAACCTCTAGGATGATATTCGTAGCACATAGCCAAGCCACCGAAGCCTATGTTTCAAGATGACCACATTCAACGAATAGTGATCTCCACTGTATTCAAACACTTACACGATGAGGCCATCAGACATAAGCAATCGTTTGGTGATGGCGATGATGGAATACGCAGAGTTGCTGCATATCCTCAACCATGAGAGGCCACGTTTCGCAGGCGTAGAGCGCAAAACTGTGTGCACTGGAGCAGGCAGACGTCGTGACGGCGTCATAAGTGGCACAGATTGACGTATGCCATTTTCTCGGGATTTCAGATAATCACCTCTGTAGTGTGAACATTGTTTGTTTTTCTACATGTAGTGACTGTTTTTTTTATTAATTGTGTAAACTCTTTACTTCACCAACGTGTATTTAACATCAGTAAATTGTTTAATTGGTAGTGTTTGCTTCTTATTTTCTTAAGGATGTCGACCGAATGCAAGTGGACATGCAAGATGTACACGTTCCAATCGAGTTATTTTCTAAAATTGATTCTGGTCAAAATCCTCAATTGTATACACGAGAGTGTATGGAACAAGCATTAGCTAAGAATGAAGCAGTTCGTGGAAAGTTGGATAGTCTTCGTCGTTTCCGAGCTCTACTTATGTATGAACTGTGTCGTACTTTTCCAAATGAAATGGCTAAATATCGTGCTGTACGTGGTGATCCCGACGCACCAGTAGTCGTTGGGCCTACAATGTCCAGTAACACCCAGTCAAATGGATCGGGCACTGAAACTGGTCCTGAGTCTGTCCCACTTCGGTAATATTATTCAGATGTGAGAGCAATTTTTATATATTTTTGGAATAAAACAAGGAGACATCTTCATATTTTCCTCTAATGTACATAACTTTGTATATATATAAAAAATTTTTTTAACCAATGACCGTGAATTTTTGTGGATCAAAAATAATGAGCGTCAAGTGGTGTAAATACGTCAGTAATAAAAGATGATTGTAGTGGTAATAATAACAATAATTTAATTTATTCCAAAACAGTAATTATGATAGATATACAGTGTGGGATTTTCAGCATTTAGTATGCTACTGCTTTTAATTTACCCAATAACAACAACAAAAGGATTTTATTTTTATAAATTACACAGTGTTATAGAGTAATTATTATTATTATATCCTTTAATTCCTAGAGGAACATAGGGCTTCAGCTGCGCGTCTCCATTTCCTTCTGTTTTCTGCCAACTTTTTTACCCCGCTCCAAGTCTGCCCACATACTTTCATCTCCTCCTCACATGACCTCCTCCAAGTCACCCTTGCACTGACGACCAACTCGCCGCTTCCCTTTCGGGCTCCACTCGAGCAATGGCTTGTCTAGTGATGTCAGTTGATGGTTTCCTCGGCGTATGGCCAATCCATCTGCATTTCTTCCTGCCTATTTGTTGCACAACCGGTTCCTGCTGGGTTGGTTCGCTTATTGCCAGAGATCCCTGTTGCTGATCTTTCCTGGGCAGCCATCTGATCTTGAATAGTATTGAGTGAAGACAGTTGTTTATGAAGATCTGTAGTCTGTTCAAAGTGCTATTCATGACGCACCACTTCTCTGATCCGTATAGTAAGTGGCACTGACTTCACATTGGAGTTGAAAATCCGGATCTTATTTTTGATGCTGAGTAGTTCTGTTGACCTCCACACAGACTTAAGGGTAATGAAAGCTTGTCTTGCTTTCCCGATTCTGGCTTTGATATCCTCGTCATTTCTGCCTGCATTTGAGGTGCTGCTTCTCAGGTAGGTGAAGGAGGTTTCTTCTTTCAGATTCCTCCCGTTTATACTGATTGTTGTCTGTTGTTGTTGTTGTTGGTGGTGTTGGCCAAGAATCTTCATCACCTCTGTTTTCTCTATGTTCACTTGAAGTCCTATCTTTGATGCTTCTTCTGCCAGCTTGTTGCTTTTCACTTGCATATCTTCCAGTTTGTGGGAAATCAGACATAATTTGCTTTATTCCAAAACAGTACTTGTGATACAGAATGGAATTCTCAGCATTTTACTACAGTATTGCATCCAGTGAGTACAATAACAATTAATACAAATTCTACATAGATTATGGGTAATCTCAGTTCGTTTTGACAACAACATATTGGCATGTCGGTAGGAAAGTCAAAATTCAACAGAGTGTTTGAAGGTGTTAGAGAAGTAGATGCTAGCATATTTACTGGCGTAAGCGGTAACAAAAGGTCGAGATATACAGAGTGTGAAAGAACGAAGAAGAATGTTTTAAACAGAGTTTGTAAAGAAGACAGAAACAAAGCAGCACATAACAGAACAAGAAGAGAAAAGGAAAAGAAAGCGTTGTACCCATAAATGATATGAGTTGGAAAGACAAGATCCAGTTGTTCTACTGACTATTTAATAAGTTAAAGGTATCACGCCTAATGCTTTCTTTATCACACAGAACACGAGCTAAATAGGGTATGGTTGAGTTTTGTATTCGCTGGTGCGAGCTTATAGTTTTCTATATAGGCCTCTGGTTATGTCTGATGAGATACAAGGGGAGAGTTGTGAATGAAGAGGATGGTGTGAGTTAGATAGATAGAATGGATTTAGCCCATTTTTCACATGAGTCCAAGTGCCTGTCAACCAGAATACTAACAAGCTGGTTAAGTGGCACGTAGCTTACCCTGCTGACAGGGTATTAACTGATGACCACTTTTCGAGCACAATTCATTACTGCTCATAATCACTTCAAAGCACTACTCACACAACTCGTTTGCTTCATTTATATACATGAGTAGAAATTGATGATTAGACATTTGAATAAAATCAATATAAGAACAGAAAGTACTTTCGGTAATAATAATATTAGTGGTATCAATAAAATACAACAAGGTCAGACATGTTTGTTAGTTAGTGGACGGACAAAAACATATTGTCAATGATAATGGAATATCGATCCATATATACATAGCAAAATATAACAGACTGTCAAAAACAAACACACATATTATGTGGATACATATCAATCGTTATAATGTACGTGAATTGAAATAGGATTTTAGCATTTTTTATCACCCTTCTCTGATTTGACGTGTGGTAATAATATTTTCCATATGTATCTCTGGTATTTGTATTGAGTCATTTCTGTTGCATGTGTTGGGTGTAGACTCGATGAACCAGCCAAGATTTAGTAATCAGTCTCTCCACCTATCTATATTACTCTTCAGAATTTTAACCCTCTTCCACCGTATTGTGTGTTAATGCATCCAGTGCAATCACTGAGCTTTTTGCTAAATTACTTATCTTCTCGGTGTCAACCATTCTTACCTTAGCTAAATTCTTATGTTCCGACATAATGAATACCCCCGACCTACTAGTTTGACTGACATATGTACTTGACCTAAACGGTTTAAACGGTTACACGTTCAAATTTTGTGTCTTCAAGGTCTATAAATAAATCTCAGTGTAATTGACAGTTATACCTACCTCCGTGGTGCTGCAGTCTTTGGCCAAACAGAAAGTAGGTAGATCACAGTAGGGTTTGTCACCCCCAGAGTAAACCACTTTGAATATAACAGTTCATTGGGCAATCTTTCAATATTGACAGCAGTGACGGTGATGAGCCCTGGTTTCATCGAAACTTTGGTTCCTAGAAGTGCGAATGGAATCAAAGCATAACGCATACAACGGCCATGGGAGTTTACTAACAGTGCGTGAAATAATGAATAAGTGGGATGGGAGTAAATTACATAAAATGCGGAATTAACGCCAGGAGATCGGACCTTTAATTCGCTTTACGATACCCTTCGTGAAAGACTGCCAATCCCCCTGATCATATTTTTCATCCAGACTTCCTTGTTAAGGATCCGAATGTGGGTTTGAAGGCATTCATACAAATGGTAGTGTTACACTGATTCCAAGACTGCCAACTGTGTTTAAAGATATCTACTTAGAAACAGGAAGAAATGCAGTACAAACGCTGCAACAATATTTGAACGTATTATAGCATTTATACGATGTCTCCGACATATGCACTTTCCATCACTTCTTTTTGTTAAAGAATTGCTAATGTACCTGAAGCACTCGGCCGATATAAGTCTAATGCAATCAGTATGGAATTTCCGCTTCTCTTAACCAGATGCAAAATTATTTTTACCAGTGAGTCAGATACCCTCATCTAGTTTTAAACGCAGAATAAACCTGAAGGAATTCATTGATTATCTCAAGATTTACACCCTAAGTACGATGTCTACAGAGCATCTTGTCACATCTACCAAACTTTCTCGGCTAGTGTAAGTGAAGAGAGAAGGCCTCACTCTTACAAGTCCGTCAGCTGCTACACACTGATAATGATCGCCTGCAATTACGCTGACGAGAACCATTTTACATTATTACAGGTTTGCCTACTCCAAATTGTCGCTTTTGCAGATGCAAACAATCACGATTGCCTACGTAAACTTCTGGCACAGACGACCCCTTTCGTTGCAAGCTAGAAAGATTTTCGAGGTGAGACCGAGTTTACAGTATCCTACGTGTGCTTTGTATGATTCTTCGCACACATCGGTATCCCTGTCAGCGAATGGCTTCGAGGCACTGATTTCGTCTCCTGGTAATCTAAACCTGTATGTCTCAACTGAGATAAACGTCTGGGTGCATTGATGATTGCATGGACTTTCAAAGGTTGTACTGTTACATCCGTCAAGTGTGACAAACCCATTTACGGGTCTCACAGATGACATTTTCACACCTAAAGCTACTTTAATCCTTCATGCAAAGGCAATTCACCCTATGTCGTTCGAGTCAGTGTCTCAAGTAACATGGTCACAGCCTGATATGCATCCATATTGCACGGAGTGGTATTTCAGTAGGCTACATCTATCGAGTAAACAGGTTGAAGCAACCCTGTATGATGTGTAGGGCTTCAATAATTAGTTAATTCTGACACTCATCCGAAAAAGGGTGCAGAAGTGAGGTAAGTAAATCTCAACTTTGTTACCATTCATTTTTTATGTATTCGATGAATGGACATAAAATTAGATCTCGCAGGTAATCAGTTGCAAGAAACCAGTAAAACGGGTGTGTAAAACAGTGGACAAATGTACCCAACAGGAAAATTTTTTCGTTAGCATTGGTAAATTCAGCATAAATATGGTTTAGGGGGAATATTGTGGACCATGGTCAAAAACTTCCGAAAGTGAGAATATGTGGCAAAACTATTATGAAATTTCAAAAAACTAAGCAAAGAAAAGGATGCAAACATTAAAAAGTGAAAGAATGTCAGGAATGAAGTCGTATTTAAAGAGCGATCGTACGTTTGTTTTTTTAAATCAAGAAATTGATTGGACGCATGAAAATTCACCAAGTTAGTTTGAAAACTTCCGTAACATCTAGTAGTTAGTTATTTATTTTACTGCAAAATGTGTTGAGATTATAATTATCATCACAGGCTTTGTAATTTTTCGAGTTTTAACAAGGAGATTCGCACCAGATGCCTTATATGATATTCAGCTGTTGAAATTATTTGATATGAGGTGTTAATTAACCCATTAATTGACTATTATTCTGGTATTTTCTCCTTGTTGACTAAGTCAGATAGAGCAACATGATTAATAATGTGTAGCGTTACTTCAGAAGGAAAAGCCAATGGATTATTTGGTCAAGTGAAGACTTCGTTACCAGTTGAGTACGACGCCCAAGTCGACAAAAATGGGGAAAATCGTGTTCAAAATGGGGAAATAGTAAGATTTTCCCCATTCACCCCATTTTGTCCCCATCTTTGTCGTCTTTTCCCCATTTTGTAAAGTCCGGTTGTCCCTAT